TCTCCATCTCTCTGCATCCCCCTTTTCCCTTCCTCTTCCTTTCTGTCTCTCCCTCTGCCTCCCTCATTCCCTCCCTCTCTCTCGGTATCTCTCTGTATCTTTTCCTCTACCTGGCCCCCTGTTTTCTTTCACTCCTCTTTCTCCCTTCTTCCCTCCCTCTCCTTTCATCCCCCTGTATCTCTGTCTCCCTCCCTCCCTTTTTCTCTCTCTCCCTCCCACATTTTCTCCCGCCCTCTCTCCCCACTCCCTCTTTCTCAGTCACTCTCTCCCTTCATCCCACCCCTTCTCTCTCCCTCTCTGCCTCTTGCCCTGTCTCTGTCTCCACCCTCCTTCCCTCTTTCTTGGTCTTCTCTGCCTCTCCCTGTGGCTCTCAGTTCCTCCCTCCCTCTCTCTTTCCATCTCTCTCCCCCAGTCACCCCATCTTTCTATCCCTCTTTCTCTTCCTGTCTTTCTGTCCCCCCATTCTTCCTTTATATCTCCCTCACTCCCTGTATCTCTCTCCTCTCTTCCCTCCCCCTAGCCTGTCTCTCTCTCACCTTCCCTGCCTCCCTTCTCTCTGTGCCCTGTTTACATTGCACATATAAGGGATATCATGTGGAAAGCTTTGTCTTTCCAACTTCCCTGAGTATCACAATCTCTAGTTGCAGCCTCCTTCCCCTGTGTCTGAGTCGCATTCCTTTGTGTGAATGCACTACATCTTTAGGGGCTTCCTGTGGCTCAGCTGGTGAAGAATCTGCCTGCGCTGCAGGAGTCCCTGGTTCGATTCCTGGGTCGGGAAGATCCCCTGGAGAAGGGATAGACTGCTCACTGCGGTATTCTTGGGCTTCCCTGGTGACTCAGCTGGTGAAGAATCCACCTGCCGTGCAGGAGACCTGGTCCCTGGGTTGGGAAGGTTCCCTGGAGGAGGGCGTGGCACCCCACTCCAGTGTTCTTGCCTGGAGAATCCCATGGACGGAGGAAGCTGGCGGGCTACGGTGCATGGGGTCGCAGAGAGTCGGACACGGCTGAGCCACTAAGCAGGCACACCCAGCACATCTTTATCCATTCGTCTGTCACTGGGGGTGTGTTTCTGTGTCTTGGCTGTTGCGTATAGTGTTGCTGTGAACACAGGAGTGTGCGCACCTGGGAAATTGGTTTTTATTTATTTACTCTTGGCTGCGCTGTGTCTTCGTCGCCGCACACGGGCTTCCTCAAGTCTCAGCGAGCGGAGGCTGCTCCCCACTTGCGGGGCGGGACTTCTCGTGTGGCTGCTCTTGTCGAGGGCCGGGGGCTCTAGGGCAGGCGGGCCGCGGCAGCCGCAGAGCGCGGGCTGGCGTTGGCAGTGTCAGCTCGGCGGTCGTGCAGGCGCTTGGTTCCCCTGCCGTGTGCTGTCGGGTCTGACCCTCTGTGACCCCGTGGACTGTATTCCGCCAGGCTCCTCTGCCCGTGGGATTCTCCAGGCAAGGACACTGGAGTGGGTTGCCATTTCCTCCTCCAGGGGATCTTCCCCACCCAGGGATCGACCCGGGTCCCTTGCGTCTCCTGCACCGGCAGGCGGATTCTTTACCACTAAGCCCTCGGGGAAGCCCCTGCAGCGCGAGGCCTTTCCCAGACCAGAGAGCGGACCTGTGGCCCCTGCATTGGCAGGCAGATCCCTAACCACTGGATCACCAAGGAGGTTCTTGAATTATAGTTTGACTGATAACATGCCCACAAATGAAACTTCTGGATCATTTGGTGATTCTACTTTATTTTTCTGAGAAACCTCCACTCTATTTTCCAGTTTCTGTTCCAGTTTGCATTACCACCAGTGGTGGAATTCCCTTTTCTCCACACCTTCTCTAGCATATGTTACTTGTAGACTTTTTAATGATGGTCATTCTAACCTGTATGAGGTGGTATTTCTTTGCAGTTTTGATTGCATTTCTCTCACAATTAGTGATGTTGAGCCTCTTTTCATGTGCCTATTGGCATCTATATGTTTTCTCTTAAGAAATGTCTTATTTATGATCTTTTGCCCTAAATTTTCAATTTGGTTGTTGTTTTGTTGAATTGATGTTGAACTATTTATATATTTTGGCAATTAATCCCTTGCCTGTTGCATCCTTTGTAAATATTTTGTCCCTTTCCACAGGCTGTCTTTTTGCCGTTGTTATGGTTTCCTTTGCTATGCGAAAGTTTGTAAGTTTGATTAGGTCCCATTTCTTCATTTTTGTTTTTATTTGTATTGCCTTGGGAAACTGGCCTTAGAAAACACAGGTACGACTTAGGTCAGAGGATGTTTTGCCTGGGAGTTTCCTGGTGTCATGGTTGTGTGTGTGGTGTGAGGGTGTGTTCCGGTTCACTGGTTTACATGCAGTTATCTAGCTGCAGCTTCCCAATGCCACGAAATGCTTCCCTAGATGGTTGGATGGCATCACCGACTCAATGGACATGGGTTTGGGTGGACTCCAGGAGTTGGTGATGGACAGGGAGGCCTGGCGTGCTGAGGTTCATGGGGTTGCAAAGAGTTGGACATGACTAAGTGACTGAACTGGACTGAACTGACTCTTGGGAGCCAGGAATGGCCTTCGTATGTCGTTACACAGGGGTTCAATCCTAGCCCACTTCTAGGAACCACCTGTATACAGAAGAGAGCAACTGGCAAGATGTTCCTTTTTGATGAGTTTCCTGGCACAGCTTGGTGAGAGTTTTCTTCAGGGTGCAGTTCACCTTTTCAGCCTGTTTTGTAGGTTGGGGTCTCCATGCTGAGTGCAGTTTCCACTTTGTGTTATTTCTATGATGAAAGAGGATCCATGGGTCACTCTGTATAGTAGAGGGAAGGCCATACCTAGGAATAAGGTCCTTAAAAAGGACTTTTGTCACTTCTGATGCTTTTCCTTTTGGCTGTGAAGGGCTCTACTCAACCTTGATCCAGGTGTAATCCTTGCAGTCTTTAGCTAACATCTTGAGGAGGTTGGGGGAATATTTAAATCCTTTTGGCATCCCAAGTCTGACATAGCTCAGAAATTTCAAGTTTATAAAAACACGGGAATGAGTCTGAAATCACATCCTCAGTGGTCACTTAAGTTTTACCATTGTTACTCCACTTTGACTTTTAAATGCATCCTCCTCATCAGTGTCAAAGAAGATGTACAGTGCATATGTGAGAAGTCACAAAACAGGCCACTTTTTAAAGCTAAACCATGTGTTAATATAAGCCAGTGACTTCCCCATACCTCAGTACATGCAGATTTTTATCACTTCCCCTTCTGATTGCAAATCTTTCAGTAGAAAACATCGATAATCAGAATATCTGTGCAGTTCAACCTGGATGTAGATCATGTCCCTCAGTACTGGGTCTCCTTTATATGTGCCTAGTTAATCCATGTTTGGGAAAACAGATCAGGTGTGGTGAGCAGGCTCAGAGGTATGTTAATGAGGAAACACTAAAGGCCATACATTGTATCACTTATATCCGTTGTTATACAGCAGTACACCCAGCTCAGCAGCATGGTGTGAAATTTATTAGAGACCTGCATTTATCATAAGGGCCTTCCCATAAATTTTCTTGAAGATGAAGCACTTTTGCAAAAGCATCAGAGTACATCAGAGTCCTGTCTATAAATGACAGGACTTAAAAGGGCGTGGTTAAACATCTGATTACAGTGTAATGAAACTTAGAAACTTTGTTACAATAACAGAATTACAACTGATAACGTTTAATTTAAAGTATCAAATGTTGTTATTCAGTCAAAGTCCTAACACTTAGCAACCTTGTGGACTACAGCGCGCCAAGATCCCCTGCCCTCCACTGTCTCTGAGTTTGCTCAAATTCATGTCCACAGAGTCAGTGATGCTCCTGACCATCTCATCCTCTGCCACCCTCTTCTTACGCCTTCAGGCTTTCCCAGCATCAGGGTCTTTTCCAATGAGTCAGCTCTTCGCTTCAGGTGGCCAAAGTATTGGAGCTTCAGCATCAGTCCTTCCAATGAATGTTCAGGGTTGATCTCCTTTAGGATGGACTGGTTGGATCTCCTTGCAGTCCAAGGGACTCTCAAGAGTCTTCTCCAAAACCTCAGTTCAGAAGCATCAATTCTTCGGTGCTCAGCCTTCTTTATGGTCCAACTCTCACATCCTATGTTACTACTGGAAAAACCATAGCTTTGACTATATACATTCTCAAGTCAGCTCTATGTTGGGGGCCAGATTTTGATGCTGAAAACTCAGCCTTTGCGCACCAGTGCAGAATCAAATCTGAGAGTCTGGGGTGAAGTAGAAGAGAACAGCTTTATTGCTTTGCCAGGCTATGGGAGAGACAGCAGGCTTGTGCCCCCAAAAAACAACCTCACATCCAACCCAGGAGGAATTGGTGAGGAGTTGTTACAGCAGTGGTTCAAGGGTGGAGTTGCTGTTAAGATCAGGGTGTGTGTAGGGCCTGCACGCCTTTATCTTGTCTCAGGCAGTCTCCTACTCTTCTCTAGTTCCTCATATCTGGCCTCGGGGGTTTCTCAGCTGCTTCTCCCCTGTGTCTGCATCCTTTCCCTTCACAGACTAGCAGCTGTTTGTATCTGTCCTTTGGAACCCAGGGAAGGTCATAGAGGCTGGAATCTCCTCCCTACAAACAAGAAAACAGGGGACAGAAGGCTTCCGTGCCCAAGAGCCCAATGGGGTCCTGTTCAGTTTCAGAGGCAGCAAATGTTATTATGTGGACTGGCGGGCAGCTGAAATCTGATTAGAGGGGCCTCACGGTGAGGCCTGTGGCAGGTGCAGAGCCGGCAGCTCTGGCCCTCCCCAGTACTCCTCACCCCGATCATGTTCCTAAGTCCCAACCCCAGCGTCAGGCAAGTGGAGAGGGTCAGAGCACAGCCAGGTGTCCCCTGGGGCTTATAAAGGCTGGGGGAGGAGCAGCTGGGGGGCTGCATCAGTGCGATCACCCTGTACCCCTCGGCTCCTTATCCCGCCTGTGTGACCTGCCGAGCTAAGAGCACCCATCTTAGGGTGTATCAGGGCCTACCTCACACTTGCACCTCCTCCTCTAGACCTCCTGCCCCCTGAGGTCTGCAGTCTCCTGAACCCCGCGGCCATCTATGCCAACAACGAGATCAGCCTGCGCGACGTCGAGGTCTACGGCTTCGACTACGACTACACCCTGGCCCAGTACTCGGACACGCTGCACCCGGAGATCTTCAATGCCGCCCGTGACATCCTGGTTGAGCACTACAAGGTGAGGCCGGGCCACCCCTGGGTGGGTGGCTGAATGGATCCCCAGGCAGCTGCCCGACGGGCAGGTGTGCCAATGCCACTGGCTCAGGCCTGGCCTCGTTTCCCCCAACAGTACCCAGAGGGCATTCGGAAGTATGACTACAACCCCAGCTTTGCCATCCGCGGCCTGCACTATGATATTCAGAAGGTGAGCGGCCCCCTCAGGGGAGGCGTGTGGGAACCACTCCCTCAGCCACCCGTCTCCTGGCCGTGGCGGACTCATTTTCCTACTCCTTTGGCCTCAAAGCCGTACTTCCTCTTGGCAAGCGTGGGGGCTAGAAAAGGCTGGCTCAGAGCCTATGGCGGGCTGTCGCCTCACCACCCATCTTGCTCCCGCGGTGCCCCTAGAGCCTTCTGATGAAGATTGACGCCTTCCATTACGTGCAGCTGGGGACCGCCTACAGGTCAGTGCTGCCCCGGCCTGGCCCCATGCCCCAACCTTACACCAGGGTGCCCCTGTGGACTGGTGGTCTCTCTGCACCCACCCAGGGGCCTCCAGCCTGTGCCAGACGAAGAGGTGATCGAGCTCTACGGGGGCACCCAGCACATCCCCCTCTACCAGATGAGCGGCTTCTATGGCAAGGTAGGTGCCCGCGCCCTGGTGGCCCCGCGCCCACCCCCAAGGCACACTGCCCTCGGGTCTCCAGGGCGGGAGGGCTTGCTCAGTCAGCACTCCTTCCCCAGGGCCCCTCCATCAAGCAGTTCATGGACATCTTCTCGCTGCCAGAGATGGCGCTGCTCTCCTGCGTGGTGGACCACTTCCTGGGCCACGGCCTGGAGTTTGACCAAGCGCACCTCTACAAGGATGTGACAGTAAGGGCCTGGGCCTGCGCCCCAGGGTGGCGTGGACAGGAGTCCAGACAGAGCAGGGGTCGTCCTGGGCTCCAGTGAGGCCTCACTGCCCCTCCACTGCCCCCAGGATGCCATTCGGGACGTGCACGTGAAGGGCCTCATGTACCAGTGGATCGCGCGGGACATGGGTAAGGGGGCCGGGCCCTGCTGCGGCTGCCGGGGCCGGCGTGGGGCCAGCCCTCACCGCTCGCTTCTCCCCCCACGTACTTCCCAGAGAAGTACATCCTGCGAGGGGACGAGACGTTCGCCGTGCTGAGCCGCCTGGTGGCCCACGGGAAGCAGCTGTTCCTCATCACCAACAGCCCTTTCAGCTTCGTGTAAGCCCCCTGCCCCCGCGGGGAGGAAGCAGGACACAGGGACTTAAGGTGGGTGGCAGAGGCCTGGAGCCTCCCTCGGACGCCGGACGCCTGTCCCACTCGGCCCCTCTCCGCCCAGGGACAAGGGGATGCGGCACATGGTGGGTCCCGACTGGCGCCAGCTCTTTGACGTGGTCATCGTCCAGGCGGACAAGCCCAGCTTCTTCACCGACCGACGCAAGTAAGGCCTGGCCGGGGTGGTGGGCCCAGGGGGTGGGGCCGGGGGCACCCCTGTGCTGACGGGCAGGTGTGCCGCCTGTGGTTCCTGCCGCAGCCTGGGAACCAGGCCTTTGAACCCGCCCCAGGCCTTTCAGGAAACTTGATGAGAAGGGCTCACTGCACTGGGACCGCATCACCCGCCTGGAGAAGGGCAAGATCTACCGGCAGGTGAGAGCTGGCTGGGTGGGCGCTGCCCCACACCCGCGGGGGCTCCATCCCTGCCCAGGGCCTGGAGAGGCCCAGCCCCAATGCTTGGTGTCTCCGTGCCATGCTTGCCTCACCTGGAAGAGGCAGACTCTCCTCACATGTGCTGTGAAGCTCTTCGGTAGCTCAGGCGTTCAGTGAGCACCCACTCAGTGGTGCTGAGCCGTCTGCTGCAGCCAGACAGCCCAGTGGGGGCGGCTCACAGGGCCCCGACGAGACCCCTTTTCCTGGCTGGCTAGGAAGGTGAGGAGGGGCTAGGAGGCTGTGCGCAGGAGGTGAAGTATTTGGCTCTGGATGGAGTGTGGAAATCCTGGCTGAGCTGGGGCTTCTTAAGAGACAGTGGTTTGGGGTTGGGGGGTCCGGCCAGTAGTGCAGCCTCGGGCTGCCTGATGCTCAGCCTCCCGCCCTGGCGACCCCCTTAGGCAGAAGCTTTGAGGATGACACTGTTGTCTTGGCCTCCTGGCTGAGCCTGGGGAGCGTCACTCCACCTTTGTGGGAAACACTGAGTTTTCTTCTTTGGCAGGTTTTTAGACTTTTCTTTAGGCCTCATGTTCTGAAATTTCACCACGTATGTGGTTTCTCTGCTCTCCCTGTCTCATCCTCAGCACTCCGCCCGCTCATTTGATCCTGGGGCCTGCACCTCACTCTCACCACCTGAGTTAATTCCTCCTCACCTGTCTCCCCCATGCCTCTTGCCCTTCTGCTGTCCCGGCCCACCCCGGTGTCTGCTCCCCTACCGGCCTCCCCTGCTGTGTCAATGGAGCCTGGCTCTTTTCCATCTTTTCTCCAACTTTGGCGCAGGAAGGGCAGGTAGCCTTACAGGGAGGTCTGCCGTTCGTCTGCCGGGCCCCTCCGGGCTGGCCTGCTGGCTTCGGGGCCGTGGGGTCGTGGCTGCAGTTTGTTTCCCACAGAGTGGACTCCAGCCCTCGCTGGCGCGGGTGTGAGGGCACAGGGCGGGGAGGCCTTCCTGCCCCGGGCAGACCCGAGGGCCGGGGCCCAGAGGGGCCCACGAGGCCGCGGGAAAGGGCAGCCCTGCATCCGGCCTCGCTGCCTCTGGGGAGGCCTGGCGGGAAGAGCCCCGGGGGAGCCCCCGCGGCACAGTGAGCGTAGCTGTGTGTCCCCCCTCCCCCCCAGGGAAACCTGTTTGACTTCCTGCGGCTGACGGAGTGGCGCGGCCCCCGAGTGCTCTACTTCGGGGACCACCTCTACAGCGACCTGGCGGACCTCATGCTGCGACACGGCTGGCGCACGGGTGCCATCATCCCCGAGCTGGAGCGCGAGATCCGCATCATCAACACGGAGCAGTACATGCACTCGCTGACGTGGCAGCAGGCGCTCACGGGGCTGCTGGAGCGCATGCAGGTGCGGGCCGCAGGCGCGGGGCGGCGGCGGCGGGGCTGCCCCGGGCCGCTCACAGCCAGCAACACCCCTGTCTCCCCCAGACCTACCAGGACGCCGAGTCGCGGCAGGTGCTGGCCGCCTGGATGAAGGAGCGGCAGGAGCTGAGGTGAGTGGGGGGCCCGGGCAGGCGGCCCCGGCCTGCCCCCTGGAAGCCCCCCGAGTGCCCGTGTCTCCTCCGGCAGGTGCGTCACCAAGGCCCTGTTCAACGCCCAGTTTGGGAGCATCTTCCGCACCTTCCACAACCCCACCTACTTCTCCCGGCGCCTCGTGCGCTTCTCCGACCTCTACATGGCCTCCCTCAGCTGCCTGCTCAACTACCGCGTGGACTTCACCTTCTACCCGCGCCGCACGCCCCTGCAGCACGAGGCGCCGCTCTGGATGGACCAGCTCTGCACGGGCTGCATGAAGACGCCCTTCCTGGGGGACATGGCGCACATCCGCTGAGAGTACCTTTATTGTCTGGACCAGGCCCCGCCCCACCTGTCCCGCCCTCTCCGGGCAATAAAAGCCGTCTCCCTCGTGCCTCTGCGTCACTTCACCTCGAGGATCCTCTGTGTGTCGGGGAAGTCCTCCTCCAGGAGCGAGTCCTGACGGGGAGGATCATCGGTTAGTGTCTGGGCCAAGAGTGGGTCCCCTTCCCAACACCCCCAGCCCCACACTCACATCAAAGGGCTCACAGAAGGCCTCCTGGCTACCAAAGACCGGGTTAGGGACGGAGACCAGAGTGGGGCTGGTCCCTTCCTGCCACGGGGAGAAGTCATCAGCAGCATCGTCTTCTGCCTAGAAAGGCAGGTGAGTCCTGAGACCTCGGCAGCCTTGCTGGCCCAGGCCCCACGCCTCCCTCAGCCCCCAGCCCAGCTACCTGGAAGGCAGAGAAACCAAAGCCTGTGGACTGGCTTCGGGCACGAAGGTAGAAGACTCCGGCCACCAGGCCGAGGACGGCTCCAGCAGCCACCACGGCCCCCACGCCCGCTGCCACAGGCGGGGCCTCCGAGGCCACCACTGCCCGCTGCAAACAAGAGCATCAGGGACCTGGCCGGAGCGGTCCCCTGACCCCTCCCCGCTGTGCCTGTCCATGCTCAACTCACGGACTGCGGGGGCGCTAGCAGGGGGCTAGCCAGCGTGTGGATGATGCCGTTGAAGGCCAGGATGTCCCACACGATGACACGGCTGACCACAACTGCCCCTGGGACCTGTAAGGAGACCGGAGTCAGGCCCAGTGGTAATCAGTGAGGGCTGGGCCAGCAGGGCAGGGGCCACCTCGAGACTCGCCTCAGGGGCCCGAGAACTGTTGCCAGGGCCCAGGTCACTGATGACGAGGCTGAGGCCCGAGTGGGCGGGAAGCAGGGCCCCCTGGCTCGCATTGGTGCTCAGGAAGGTGGTGTTGGAGGCGTGCAGCTCCAGATCTGGACCACTCAGTGTCTGCGGGCACAGCACAGCTGTTGTCGTGGACCAACCACAGAAAGCAGAACCAGGCCCTGCCCTCCCCACACTCCATGTTACCATGTTGTCGACAAAACCTTCATTGACAGGGACGAAGAGTGTCTTGTAGGTGTGCTCGTCATCCAGGAAGTCCAGAAACTCAAGACCCCTCGGGGTGGCATTGGCGTAACCCAGTAGCATCTGGAGATGGTGGGACACAGGGTTGTGGGTGGGTTCCCGCCATAAAGATCCCCGCCGCACCATGCCCCTGGCCCCTGGGTACCCCATAGAAGGTGGAGAAGTTGGCAGTGGTGGCCAGTACATCCAGCAGCTTCCCATTGCACACGCTGGTCCCATCACCCACGAAACCATCGCGGCATCGGCAGGCCACGTCTGCAGGGAAGGCAGCACAGCGAGTGAGTGGGTCAGCAGGGAGAGGCAGAGCAGTGAGCGGGCTTGGGGGGGCGGCCATACCTTGCATGCGGAAGCAGTAGGCGTCCCAGCGCTCCGAGCGGTTCTCCCGGGCTCCCAGGCTGACCACGCCCACCTGGCCATCCCCACAGTCTGCCGCGGGGAAGACGACGGGGTGGGCAGCCGAGCCGTTGGCCAGCCAGCCCACAAGGCAGAGGTGGAGGCCCAGCTGTAAAAGGACAAGCAGAGGCTGAGACCCAAGGCCCAACTGAAAAGGGCCCCCACAGGCTTGGCTCCAGACTCCCAGGCCCCATATACCTGCTGGGCAGCAGAGAGCTGAAGGAGAGAGGCAAGGACAGCTCCCTGGGCCCCACAAGCCGCCTCGGCCTCTGAGAAGTTGAGGCCGTAAGGGCCACTGGGGGCCTGGAGGTGGAAGACACCAGCTCGCTTCTCTGCAGAGGGGAGGGGTGTGCGGTCAGTGGGCCACTGCCGGGTCAAGCAGGGGTGTGGGGAAGGGGCGGGGAAGCACACCCTGGAAGTGCAGGTCGGTGCACACGGCATCCGCGTGACAGGGAGGTGGCCGGTCCAGGCAGCGGTCCACGGGCGGCTCGGGTTCCAGCAGACACTGCAGTCCATCGCCCACGTAGCCGGCATGGCACACACAGCGCCGCGTGTTCTGGGGCAGGAGAGCAGGTGGGCACCCCTCAGGGCCTGGGGCAGCCAAAGTCGGCTCCCCCCAGCTGGTGGCTTGGCTCCCCCTGCTCACCGGCCCAGTGTTCAGGCAGTCGGCGTGCTCGCTGCAGCCCCCGCGGTAGCCATCCTCACAGGGGTTGCGGGCCCGGCAGCTCCAGCCGTCGCCCTCGTAGTCTGGCCAGCAGGTGCAGGTGACCGCTGTGCCCTCCTGGCTACAGTTGGCGTGCTCGCTGCAGCCGCCACGCCCATCCTGGCACAGGTCCACCACTGGAGGCGGCCGGGAGGGCGGGGTTGGACCGGGTAATGGGAGGGGAGGGGAGGGGAGTGGGCCCTCCACCCCTGCACCCCTGCTCACCTGCGCACGTGCGGCCGTCCCCTTCGTAGCCCAGGCCGCACTCACAGCTGTTGCCAACGCGGCACACGGCCTGGGGTGCGCAGGGCGGAGCACACACAGGCTGCAGCTCTGTCCCCCAGGGCCCACCCCACACATCCAGGTTAGTGGCTGCCCTCCTGGACGCCCTTCCATCCGAGTGTGCAGTTGGGGCACGCACTGGTGTGTGCAGGGTGGGCGTAAGCACAGGGCCACTCACCCAGCTGCACCTCACAGCGTGGCCCCGTCCAGCCCTCCTCACAGAAGCAGGAGCCGGAGCCCCCCAGGCCCTCATCACAGCGGCCGTGGGAAGTACAGTTGCAGGCTGGGGGGAGGGACGGGAAGGACGGTGTCGGCACACGGGCCAAGGCGGTCAGGGGGCCGGGCCGGGCCACACAGCCTACCTTGGCACAGGGGCCCGAAGGCTCCCGGGGCACAGAGCTCACAGGCCGTGCCGGCGAAGCGCGCGTGACACCTACACTCCCCGCTGCCGCTCATGCCGTCCATGCACGTGCCGCGGTGGTTACAGGGGCTGCTGGCGCCACCAGGGCAGGCTCGGGGAGGGGGTGAGGAGGGGGGTGAGGTCGGGCCTCATCAGGAGCCCCGCACCTGCACCCCTAGCCTGGACACATTCCATCCTCCACCCAGCGGCAGCGGAGGCTCCGGCACAAGCAGCCGCAGTGCCCTGGAGAACACCCGGACCCCTAGCCCAGTCCACCAGGACCCATACCACCTACACAGCCACCTCTGCTCAGAACACTCTCTCCTGTGGGTCCACTCACCCCCAGCCTGACCACCCTGAGCCCCTTTCTGAGACTCAGCGGCCAGAGCTGTGCCCCGGCCATCTTAGGAGCTGGGAGGGCCGGTCGGCGGAGTCTGCAGCCGCGGGACACTCACCTCGGCACTCGCTGCCATAGTGCCCAGAGCAGCAGCTGGGCTTCCAGGTGGTGGTGACACAGTTGCGGTAGCAGCCTCTGCCCAGGCCTTGGGGCTGACCCCAGTGGCTGGGCCGGGTCCACACACTGCGTAGGGCCAAGGAGTGCAGCGGAGGGGACGTCCAGAACTTGGAGAAGTAGCGCCAGCATGCCTCGGGGCTGCCCTGGGCCAAGAGGGATCAGGCTGCAAACCTGCACTTGTTGGGCCCTCCCGGGCCCCACCACCTAGCGCCCAGCCCCTTACCTGCTCCTGTGAGCCCGGAGGGCAGGGGGGTTCCAGCCCACAGATGCTGCAAACTTTCTGTGAGGAAAGGAAGGCAACAAGTCGAGAGGGTGGACAGGACAGTGCCAAGTGGCCTTGACGCCCCCCCCTCCGCCTCTGGCCTATGGCCTCCCTCACCAGCCACAGCGGTCGGGTCTCAAAGCGGTCACAGCGGGCACCAAGGCCAGGCGGCTCCAGCAGCTGGTCAATGCCGTAGGCCAGGCCCCCCTCAAAGGGCAGGTGTCGCTGCACAATTCGGGCGGCGTCCTCTCCCACCGTGAGCTCGCCCTGCCGGGGAGGGGTGTGGAGTGTCACAGGTGTATTGCACCCCCACTGTCCGGGCCACTGCCTCCTGCCACCCTCATTCAAGCTTCCTCCCCAGACTCACCGGCCGTGCGCGGCTGCAGGAGAAGGAGATGGGGGTCCCGTGCATGGTGCGCAGGGAGCCCAGGTTGGGCAGGTCAGATGCCAAGGCCTGAACACATGGAGCCAGAGTTGGAGCTGGGTGGGCAGGCAGTAGGGACCACGCCCTGGGGGTGCACCCACCTCGACGTTGCGGATCACGTGGCCCCGCAGAATGGCTGCCAGCTTGTCACGGTGGTCCTTATGGTAGAGCCAGACCTGGCGATCGGGAGGCAAGGCTTGTAGGGCGGAATCTGTGGGCCACAGCATGGTAAGTGGCCTGTGGAAGGAATCTTGAAGCAGGGGCAGGAGGCCAGCCATCTGGTGAGAGAGGAGGTGTGGCGGTCACAGCCCCGGCCGAAGCCAGTGGGCTGATGGAGGGACCTGCACTGCAGGGCCTCCCGGGACCCGGGTGACCTTCCCACCAGCCACACCCCTCTGCAGCCATCCCAGGCTGACACACATGCGTGTAGTCAGGTGTGCGGGCACGTGTCAGCACACACGCTGACAGTCACCCACGTGTACACACTCACACGTGCACATGGGCACACACTGCAAAGCTCACACGCGGGGGCAGTACCGTCACAAGGTCGCTGAAGATCTTGTAACCGAAGGTCTCTGCAGCAGCAGTGAAGTTTCTCTGGGGACAGGGGCTCAATGAGCAGCGAGGTCGGGAGGGGAGCAAGGGCCCCAGGCCCGCACCCAGGTCCTACCCGTGGAGCTGGGGCAGCGTCAGCTTCCCAGTGCAGCACTTCAGGCGGCAGCAGGACACGGTCGATGAAATGCAGGACACCGTTCACAGCCTCCTGGTCGCTGCTCACCACACGCGCGAAGTCATTGATGTAGATGCTGCCCTGGGGGTGGGCCCGGGGTGGAAGGAAGCCAAGTGGTGGGGGGCCTGGTTGGGCAAGTCTTGGGGGAGGAAGTGGGCAGGGTCAAGGCAGAGGGCGGGTTTCGCCTCCTGCCCAGGGAAGCAGCTGTTGGATTTGGCTGGTGGGAGCCCCACGGACACTGGGCCAGCCCAGGA